TATATGCTGTTGAGTCAGTTCCGACCCATGGCGACGCTGTGGTTTTCCAAGGAGCGGCTGGTGAGCTTGAACCGCTGACCTTGTGATTCAAACTGACATTGTAGTCCAGTGCATTAAGCCTGACTAGTGAGTTTGAATTGCCGGCCTTGTGGTTCAAACCGGCCTTGCAGTCCATTGCTTACCCTACAGCGCCACACCAGGACTCCTCAACAATACTAGAAGTTTGTTATTTGAAAATTTACACAAACCACTGGTGAAATTAACAAAGGATAAGAGGAAGAAGATGCAAATAATACAAATAAATGAAATGGGTGATGTTACAACAGTTTGAACCAAAATAAAATGGATAATAAGAGTACTATGAAGAACTACTGTACTACAAATTTGAAAACGTAGAAGAAATGAACACATTTCTAGAAACATACCACCTACCCAAACTAACAGACACTGAGGGAGAAAATTCAAAAAGACCCATTACAAAAAAAGAAACTGAACTAGTTATAACAAACAGAAACTCACTACAACAAACAAACCCACAACAACTCAGCATCCAAAGATTTTGGTGGAGGCTGATCATATAGGCATCCTTTGTTTGTTGTTGTTGTTAGGTGCCATACCCAAACACCAGACATAAATCACACATGTTCAGCATATATCACACTATTTATACAGTTTTGGCACATGGAGCGGTTCTTTTCAATTCTGGGCATTGGTGGGGACCCTCCCAAAGTCAGAGTTCTAAGATGCCAGCTAACGGCCAGTTTCATAAGCAGTTCTTTCTAAGGATAGTAGTTTCAAGGCTGCTATGTTAACTCTTTTTTACACAATACACATTTACAGTTTGTTACCAGCATTCCAACAGAGGGCTTGGTGGCTCAGTAGGATAAATGTTGGACTCCTAACTACAAAGTCGGTGGTTTGAACCCACTAGCCACTTTGCAGGAAAAAGATGAGGCTTTCTGGAAGCAACAAAGACTGGAAACCCTATACAGCATCATTATGAGTGGGAACCAATTCAACAGCACTTAACAACAACAAAGCCACAGGTGTTGTTAGGCCTTGCCCTCCAGTACAGAACAAGTTTAAATATAATGGAGTACTGGTGTGGAACTATAGGATAAGCAGTGGACAGCTAACTGTAAAATCAGCGGTTCAAACCCAACAGAGCCGTCCTTCAGAAACCCTGTACAGGGTCGCCACGAGTCAGAACCGACTTGATGGCACTTAACAACAGCAACAATTGTTCCAATATAATCTGTTAACCACTCATGTTAACCACAATTTTGTTAATTCAGTAATTAATTGGGGTGTAGATTATCAAGAATTCTGTTTCACACAGCGTTTTAGCATAGGAGAAGAGAGCTCACTGTGTTTATATCTAATATTCCCCACTGCAGCCATATCTTCTTTCTTATGGCAAAAGTCAATTCATACATTTGTAAGAGGGCATGTCAAAAGTTCTTGTTGTTGTTGTTAGGTGCCATCGAGTTGGTTCCGACCCATAGCGACCCTGTACAGGGTTTCCGAGGCTGTAAATCCTTACGGGAGTAGAAAGCCTCATCTTTCTCCCGTGGAGCAGCTGGTAGTTTCAAACCGCTGACCTTAATGTTCGCAGCCCGATTCGTAACCACTACGCTACCAGAGCTGACCCATAGCGACCTTATTATGCACAGAAGAACGAAACACTGCCTGATCCTAGGCCAACTTCACTATTGGTGCCACGCTTGAGTCCAAAAATGGAATAAATAATAATGGAATTTCCCCATAAACTTTCAAATCCCCCTTATATTACTCATACATAAAAAGAAGTCCAGATACACGCTACAACATGAATGAACCTTGAAAACATGCTGAGAGACAAATCGGTCTCAAAAGGGCACATATTATATGGTGTCACTTAGATGAAATATCTAGGATAGGCAAATGTATACAGAGCAAAGTTTACTATTGATTATCAGTGGTGGGAGGGAGAGGAAAGAGTCACTGCTTAGGGGCACTGAGCTGTTAAAACTGATGGAAACATTAGGAAATGGATAGGGTAATGTTTGCATAACATGGTGAACTTTACTAATGGGACTGAGTTGTATTTGTAAGAAAATGTTGAGATGCCAAATAGTAATAATACCACATGTCTTTCTTTGGTCCAGTTCCATGGTATGTGTGGTTTCCAAGGAGTGTCTTGTGGGTTTGAACCTCCGCCCTTAAGGTTAGCAGTTCAGTGCTTATCCTACAGCACCACACCAAGACTCCAAATATATAGCTGGTGGTAGTGGTGGTGGTTCACTACCAAGTCGGTTCCAACTCACGGCAACCTGTATTAGGTTTCCGAGGCCGACAATCTTTACCGGAGCAGAAAACCTCATCTTTCTCCTGTAAAGCAACGGATAGTTTTGTACTACTGACCTTGTGACTAGAAGCCCAGCTCATAATCCAGTACACTACCAATATATACATAGAGATAGATATATGTGTGTTAAATACATATACATTCATATGTATGTATAGAGAGAGCTCTGGTAGCATAGTGGGTTATGTTTTGGGCTGTTAACCACAAAGTCAGCAGTTTGAATCCACCAGCCGCTCATTTGAAACCCTTTTCAGGCTCACTATGAGTCACAGCTCACTTGAGGGCACTTAACAACAACAAATGGGGGTCCTGGAGTGGCACTGTAGGATAAGCACTGGACGACAATGTCAATTTAAACCACAGGGTTGGTAATTCAAACCCACCAGCCACTCCTCAGAAACCCTATATAGGGTTTCTATGAGTCACACCTGACTCAAAGGCACCACACACACACACACACACACAGAGAGAGAGACTCCTGGTGCGGCACTGTAGTATTAACACTGTGTTATGAACCTCAAGACCATCAGTTCAAATCCACCAGCTGCTCCATGGAAACCCTATACAGGGTTGCTATGAGTTGGAACTGACTTGACAGCATTTAACCCTAACGATGTATATATCACATACACATGCACACACTATAGAACTGAACCAAAGGAAGACATGCTATATAATTATTATCATCATTATTTTTGGGGCCAAGAAAAGAAGCTTTGGTTCAAAGACCCAGAAGTTGTTTTGAAGGCAGTATTTTTTGGCCAAGAACTTAAATGAAAGACAAGCAAAATTCATGGACACCGCCCAACTCTGGGATCATCTGCTGTTTAATCTTTTACAGATCTGTTCTCTCAAGGGTTTATTTATTTAACCTAACTGAACTTGGTGCCATGGAGTCCACTGGACAGGTGAGACCTGCTCCATAGGGTTTCCAAGGCTGTAATATTTATGGGAGTCCTGGTGTGGCACTGGACTGCTAACAGAAAAGTTAGCAGTTCCAACTCACCATCCGCTCCTCGGAAACCCTGTACAGGATTGCTATGAGTCCAAACCAACCAGACAATAATTAACAACAATATTTATGGGGGGACTCCTGGTGTGGTGCTGTAGGATAAGTACTGGACTGCTAACCACAAGGTCGGCGGTTCAAACCCACCAGCTGCTCAAACCCATCAGAGTTGGTAGTTTTAACCACTGAGCCACTAGGGTTCATTTGTTGTTGTTAAGTGCCATTGAGTCAGTTCTGGCCCATAGCGAACCTGTATAGAGTTCTGAGAAGTAGCTGGTGAGCTTGAACTGCCGACCTCACAAGGTCACACCGACTTTACAGTCAAGCACATTAGCCCACAGGGCCACACCAGGACTCCAGGGTTCATTTAGTCACATGGAAATATTCCAAGGCAAGTCTTTCTTATGTCTCTGCTGCTTAACCTGTGCTTGACCAATACTGTTGTTGTTAGGTGCCATCGAGTCAGTCCTGACTCATAGAGACCCTACGCACAACAGAGCAAAACTCTGCCCGGTCCTGGGCCAACTTCACAGTTGTTGCCATGCTTGAGCACATTGATGCTGCCATGTTGCCAATCCATCTCACTGAGGGTCTTCTTCTTTTTCTCTGACCCCCCACCCTACCAAACAGGATATCCTTCTCCAGCGACTGGTCCCTCCTGACAATATTTCCTAAGTATGAGAGATCAAGTTTGGCCATCCTGGCCTCCAAGAAACACTCTGGCTGCACTTCTTCCAAAACCAATCTGTTGGTTCTATGGGCAGCCCATGGCACTTTCAATATTCTCCAACACCATAACTCAAAAACATCAATTATTCTAGTCTGTCTTATTCACTGTTCAGCTTTTGCATGCATATGAGGTTATTGAAAATACCATGGCTTGGGTCAGGCATACCTTAGTCCTCAAGCTGACATCTTTGCTCTTCAACACTTTAAAAAGGTCTTATGCAGCAGATTTGCCTAGTGCAATACGTTGTTCGATTTCTTGACTGCTGATTCCATGAGTGTTGATAGTTGATCCAAGAAAAATGAAGTCTTGACAACTTCAATCTTTTCTTCATTGATAAGATTGTTGTTTATTGGTCCAGTAGTGAAGATTTTTGTTTTCTTGACATTGAGATGCAATCCATAGCGAAGGCTGTGGTCTTTGATCTTCATCAGTAAGTATTTTAAGTCCTCTTCGCTTTCAGCAAGCAAGGTTGTATCATCTGCATATCCCAGGTTGTTAAGAGTTGTGGGATGACGTCAAGAACATCACACAAGAACATCCCAATGATGGTGGTGGTTTTGCCATGGAGTCAGTTCTGACTCATAGCGACTCTGCATAGGGTTTCCGAGGCTGTAAACTTTTGGGGAGCAGAAAGTCTCATCTTTCTCTTACAGAATGGCTGGCAGTTTCTGAATTGTTGTCCTTGAAATTAGCAGCCCCACTTGTAACGACTAAGCTACCAGAGCTCCTTAATTCCTTAACAAATGTAGACTAAATGGGATGGGGAGTCCCCAGCGCTGAGGATTCCCTGGACAACAGTAGCGAAGTCACGGCTGCGCACGCGCACTGAGCTGCTAGTGGCGCCGGCGCCATTGCTGGAAGCGTTCCCGCCTTGCTCTGCGTGTGCCCTCAGTTGTCCTCTGTTTGGCCGCCAGGTACTGGTTGCTCCGGGCTCCAGGCCCGGGTTCCCCGCCGCCTCCTTTCCCCTCCCCGCCGCCCTCTGCACTTGGCTGCGGGCGGTGCCCGGGGCGTGGCTATTCTGCTCCAGAGCCCCTGCCCCGGAGCTGACCCGCCCACTCCTGAGAGGCGATTGGGGGTGGACCGCCTGGCTGGGTGTGGACCCGCCTGCTCTGGGCTTCTCTCTGCACGCTGGTTGGTGACGCCAACCTCTTAAGGTCTCCTCGCCGGGCTCTGGGTGCGGGAACGTCCTCCTGGGAGGGGCTGGCGGGATTCGCGGCCCTGGGGTTCGGGAGCACGGGGCGCGGGACCTGGCCTGGAGATCGGTGAGGGCCGGTCAGCCCCTCTGACCCGACCTTTCCCACCTTGTCAGTCCAGCACCTTTGGGGAAGTGAGGAATGTATCTACAGTGAAGATACAATGTTGATGTTGTTAAATGCCGTGGAGTCGGTTTTGACTCATAGTGACCCTGAATAGGGTTTCCAAGGAGCAGCTGGTGAGTTTGAACCGTGTATCACATCTGATAACGGAAAAGATGTTCTCTGTCTGGCCTCAGACTTAACCGAGCATCTCTTCCTTGCCGGCTAATTTTATGGCATTTAAGATAACCAGCTTTAACTCACTCCTCTCTAGATCTGACGTGGCAATGGCATTATTGCATTAATTAGGAAATTCTGGACTGGTCCGTGGCGCTGAAGTTCACAGCAAGAACATAGATCCTTCGTTAATGGGAATAACAGCATTGGTTTTAGAGTACTGGTATGGTGCTGTGAGATAATGCGCTAGACTGCAAGGTTGCTTGTCGAACCTCAAGGTGGATGATTCAAACTCACCAGCCGCTCCTCAGAAACCCTAGACAGGGCCACTGTGAGTCGGAAAGCGACTCCACGGCATTTAACCACAACAGCAAGGCTTAGGAGCTGCAGCAAGTGAACTGTCCCTATAAAGCCCTGATGTGGGTTGAAGTCAAAACATCGAGAAAAAAATATTTATGAAATTGTGGTGCTGAAGAAATATTGACGTGAATGTTTTCTGCATAATGGCAGAGGAGAAAGTAGGAGCCCTAGTGGCGCTATAGGGGAAGCACTGAATTGCTAACTGAATAGGCATTTCAAATCCACCAGCCAGTCACTCTGGGGAGAAAGATTCGGCTTTCGGCTTTCTAAAGATTTACAGCCTAGCAATCCCCTGTATAGCTTCCCAATGAACTGGAATCATCTCAATGGCAGTGGGGTTTTTTTGTTACTGTTTTTTGTTTTTTGTTTAATGTAGACACATTTATATAGTAGCAAAGCCAGGGTAAAACTAGGGGATGTGAACAGGCACTCTAGGATTGTACTGTTATACCAAACTCTTGATGGATGCATTAGATAGATAAGAAGATACATAGATAGACAAATAGATTAGATAGACAGGCATACTTAGATGCTTCTTAATGATTACTGGGGCATCTAGAAAATTAGAAACATCACAGTCCCAGGGTCTTAGAGGTGTCAGTAATATTTTGTCTTATTCACTTGCAGTATTTATTTTTTATTATTATCCTGCATTACATTTGTACACAATAAAAATACTGTTTATTGCACATTTTGGTTGTTAAGCATCTATATGGACTACTGCCAAGGAAGAGTTTATTAATTACTACCAACTTAAAGAGGAAGAATGAGTCATTCTGGATGAATTTTGAAGATACAAATTACAAAATTTCAGTGTTGCTATGTAGGTCCACTTTTATGTTTAGAAAAAAGCAAACAGTTTTTGTTTTTTATGTCTCTTAGCTTATTTTGGTTTTCTAGCCTATAAAACTGGACTTCTTAACTTGGGGGTCAGTGTATGGGTTTGTAAGGGGCAGTCTTCAAATTCCCTGAAATACTATTCAACGTTTTAGATGTATAAGGATAAATAAAAGAATATTGTTACTAGGGTTCCAGTTGATAAATACATACGTTTATTCTAAACAAAACATTTTTAAACATGTCTACAATCAGTGGATGGCTACAGACAAGTTCTCTCAGTAATATGCTTGCCTTGGTCTCGTTGTTGTTAGGTGCCATCGAGTCGGCACCGACTCATAGTGACCCTGTGCACAATAGAACGAAACACTACCCGGTCCTGAACCAACTTTACAATCATTGCCATGCTTGAATCCATTGATGCTGCCACTTTGCCAATCCATCTCTCTGGAGGTCTTTCTCTTTTTCTCTGACCCTCCATCTTACCAAACATGATATCGTTTTCCAGCGACTGGTCCCTCCTGACAATATGTCCAAAGTATGAGAGATGGAATTTGGCCATCCTGGCCCCCAAGGAGGACTCTGGCTGCACTTCTTCCACCACAGATCTGATGGTTCTTTTGGCAGCCCATGGCACTTTCAATATTCTTCTCCAACACAATAACTCAAAAGCATCAATTTTTCTACAGTCTACCTTATTCACTGTCCAGCTTTTGCATGCATAAGAGGTTATTGAAAATACCATGGCTTGGGTCAGGCACACCTTAGTCTTCAAGCTGACATCGTTGCTCTTCAACACCTTAAAAAGGTCTTGTGTAGCAGATTTGCCTAATGCAATACATTGTTTGATTTCTTGACTGCTGCTTTCATTGAGTGTTGATAGTTGATCCAAGAAGAATGAAGTCCTTGACAACTTTAATCTTTTCTCCGTTGACAAGAATGTTGTTTATTGGTCCAGTGGTAAGGATTTTTGTTTTCTTGACATTGAGATGCAATCCATAGTGAAGGCTGTGCTCTTTGATCTTCATCAGCAAATATTTTAAACCTTCTTCACTTTCAACAAGCAAGGTTGTATCATCTGCATATCACAGGTTGTTGAGTCTTCCTCCAATCCTGATCCACGTTTTTCTTCATAGAACCTAGCTTCTCAGATTATTTGCTCAGCATACAGGTTGAATAAGTATGGTGAAAGATTACAACCCCATCGCACACCTTTCTTAATTTTAAACCATTCAGTGTACCCATGTTCCGTTCGAACAACTGCCTCTTGGTCCATATACAGATTTCTCATGAGCACAATTAAGTGTTTAGGGATACTCATATTTCACAATGTTGTCCATAGCTTGTCATGATACACACAATCGAAAGCCTTTGCATAGTTAATAAAGCACAGATAAACATCTTTCTGATATTCTCTGCTTTCAGCCAAGATCCTTCGGACATCAGCAATGATAACCCTTGTTCCACGGACTCTTCTGTATCCGGCTTGAACCTCTGGAAGTTCTCTGTCAATGTATGATTGTAGCCGTTTCTGTATTACTTTTAGTAAAAATTTACTCTTTTGGGATATCAAAGATTCTCTCCGATGATTTTAGCATTCCTTTGGGTCACTTCTCTTTGGAATGGGCACAAATACAGATCTCTTCCAGTCAGTTGGTCAGGTAGTTGTCTTCCAAATTTCTGGCATAGATGAGTGAGTGCCTCCTGTGCCACCTCACTTTCTTGAAAGATTTCCATTTTATTCCATCAATTCCTGGTGCCTTGTTCTTTGCCAATTCCTTCGATTCACTTTGGACTAATTCCTTCAGTATCATTGGCTCTTGGTCATATGTTATCTTTTGAAATAGTTGAACATCAACCATTTCCTTTTGGTACAGTGACTCTGCATATTCCTTCTATCTTCTTTTGATGCTTTCTGCATCGTTCAACAGTTTGCCCAAAGAGTCCTTCAATATCACAAGTTGAGGCTTGAATTTTTCATCAGTTCCCTCAGCTTGAAAACTGCTGAGCATGTTCTTCCTTTTTGGTTTTCTGACTCCAGATCTTTGCACATCATGTTGTAATATTTGACATTGTCTTCTCGATCCGACCTTTGAAATTTTCTTTTCAGCTCTTGGACCTCCTCATTTCTTCCATTTGCTTCAGCATCTCTACGCTGGAGAGCAAGTTTCAGTGTCTCTTCTGACATCCATTTTGAC